TAAGACAATGAAACTACACCATGTGATCCTGTCACAGTGGGTGTACGTCATCACACATTTGACAAACTTCAATGACTATAAAAAGCCAAGAACAAATATCTAGCTCAGTGTGGTACTATACTCCTGTAATCCCAGATTTTGAGAAACCTGAAGAAAGAGGATAGTAAGTTTGAGGCCAGCCTGGGCAACTTAGTGAGACCCTATCAGAAAATAAAAATTTTAGAAAGGATTAGGAATGCAGCTTAGGGGGAGAGCACCTGCCTAGCATGTGCCGAGCCCTGGGTCAATCTCCAGACCTGCCAACAGAGTTAGTCCACCAAAGGCTGCAGTTGCTGTCCCAGGTGGACTCTACAGCTGCAGATTTGCTGATCTTGGGGCTATGATTTGAATGTGTCCCTCACAGTTCGGGTGTTGGAAACCTGATTCCCAGGGCCACCATACTGAGAGGTGGAACTTGCAATTGATGACTAGGCCATGGGGGGGGGAGGGGTCTGCCTGCATGGTGGATTAATGCCTTTATCTTGGAAGCGGTTTTATTATGATGGGAGTGACATCCTGAAGAAGGAGGAGCTCAGTCCCCTTTCCTCTTGTGTGTGCTTTCTTGGCCTTCTTTTATGGGGCACTAGAGCACAAAGGCCCTCTCAACTGGAAGCAGGTCCCTCTCAACTTTGGACTTCTGGGCTCCAGAACTGTAAGAAATAAAATCAATTGTCTTTATAAATTATCCAACCTCTGGCATTCTATTATGGCAGCACAAAACAGGCTCAACGTAACCAGTTGCTTCTTCTGGTGCCCTTGTAGGCCCACGTATCTTAAAGGGGATCTGCTCTTGCTGTCCCTGGGCTGTGTGCTGACAGTCTCTTCATGACCTTCTCTTCAGTTATTTCCATCTACATTTGCTGTCTCTTTGCTGCTGGGTCCCTGACTGAGCAGTGGGGGATAGACAGGAAGGGAGAGAGAGGAGAAACTGAGGAAGCAGAATTGATAACCAACTGGATGTAAAGAATGATAAGGAAGGTCCTTGGAGATAATGCAGCTGTCTAAGCACCTGCCCGGCAAATGCAAGAACCTGGGTTCAATCCCTGGTACCACACACTGGGTGTAGTGTGTATGCCTGTAATCCCAGGGCTGGGGAGGCTGCAACAGGATCACTACAAGGCTGAGCTGCATAGTGAGACCCTGCACCAAATATATATTTAAAAAAAAGAATGATAAGGAAGGGACGCCCACAGCCTATTCAGAAGTCTTTGGTTCACTTTGCTGGAGGATGGAGACCATAGAGGCCATATCAAGTCCGAAGTATGAGTGAGAAATTGTTCCGAGATGCCCAGGAGAGCTGCAGATGCAGATCTCATGCAAGAGAGGTAGTCAGAATGGCTGGCCAAATAGCTCAGCGGATTAAAGTGCCTGCAAGCAGGTGCAGGGCCAGGAGTTTGATCCCCAGGCCTGCTCTGCTGGCCCTGCCCCTAGGGCGCACTGAGATGGTGACTGAGACTGGGCGTGGTGGTGCACGCCCGTAATCACAGCTCTTGGGAGGCTGTAAGACCCTAAACACCTTGTAAACTCTTCCCTAAAATACAGAGAGAGAGAGAGAGAGAGAGAGAGAGAGAGAGAGAGAGAGAGTTAGAGCTGAAGTTACTGACTTGAGCAGCTTCTGAATTGGGTGGCAGGCCCCGCCACAGGAGCTGATGAACTCCGTGAGGAATTGTAAGAAAAAAATTCAGGACTGAACTTCTGTCTGGCTGAGCAAAATGGTGACGAAGTATTGAGATGCTTGTATAGACTCCCACAAAACTGGTGCCCTTCCAGGTAGGCAGGGACAGCCACCTTAGGGGCTGGGATGTCATTGTGGGAGACAGTCACATGGAGGACGTGACTGTGCTCCCTGTGAGTTCAGACAGAGCCGAGTGGTGGCATCCCTGGGACATCCGAGGGACTGAGAAACAAGGCAAAAGACCCACTGCAGGGGATGGTCAGCTAGCTGGAGACAGGGGAGCACACATCAAATGAAGTCTATTTCTGGGCCTGATGTTTCAGTTCTTTACTCTTTTGTTTGGTTAACTGAATCAAACACAAAGACCTATTTCAAAATACTATGGCTGTAAGTGAGATCTCACTGTATGATTCAGAGAAAAGCAGGAAGTTCAGCAAAAGGAATAAATAACCACGGGAAATAAATTCATTCATGTGGAAAAACTTTCAAAGGAGCACAATGCTGGTCATGTGTTACAAATGAACAAGAAGGATAAAGAAAGTAAGTAGAATAATGATTTCAATTGACATTTGGAGTCAACCCTTAATTGTTTCAATGTAAAAGGTAGATAATGGAATTTCTGAATATTACTGTGAGTCACAAGGAAGAGAAAGGGTGTCTAGGCCCTTCAGAGCCATGATTCTTAACCTTTTGGAGGTAGTCACTGATTCCCATGAGTAATTGCAGACAGTCGTGGATGCTTTCCTCAGAAAAATGAATGCAAGTTTACACACTCGAATACAAAATATTGCCTAAGCTAGCGAGGGCATTAAAAAGGAACTTTTGTTAATAATTCTAGTGCTAGTGCCAACACATTAGATGCTTAAGAAATATTTATCAAATGAGGGATCAAATAAATGACTGAGGCAGAGGGCTGGCCTAATAGCTCAGTGGATTAATGCACTTGCAAGCAGGCACAGGGGCCAGGAGTTCGATCTCTGGGCCTGTCTCGCCAGCCCCACTCCCGGGGCAAGCTGAGATGGCAAATGAGACTGGGCATGGTGGCGCACACCTGTAATCCTAGCTCTTGGGAGGCTGTAAACAGGTGGATCACGCTGAGTCCGATCTAGTAGTGAGATGCTAAACACCCTGTAGACCCTTCCCTAAAATACAAAAAACAAAACAAACAAACAAAAACCCCCCACCAAAACCACAAAACAAACAAAATGACTGAGGCAGTATGCTTCTACAATTGTGGTCAAAAATGCAAATATCATAAGTAGATATAAATAAGAGAGGTAAGATATTGGCACTTACCGATGTGAATTCATTTGTCATAGTGGCTGTCAATCATAGTTGTACATTATAATTTCAGAAAGGGTGGGGCTTTAAAAATATTTTTGCTTTGATTCCCACCTGGAAGAGCGGGCTGAGAATCCAAGAGTTGGACCCTGAGCATCATCAGTATTGCCTAAAAGTTCTTCAGAGGATCCTAATGAACTCAGTAGGTTAAAAGCTGTATTCGTTTAGTAGCAAAATTGAATATGAAGGCGTGGTATGACAAACAAGTTTTCATAGAGGAAATCAGGAACCACAATAAAATGATTATCTCTTCCAGTTCCCAAGCACATTTTAAATCCCTGTCACTTGCAGTGTTTCATTCACGTCCCTCAAAGGCTCCTAGAGTGCTAAGCTGAGCACAGAGGTGTTAGTGATTCCGTGCAGCCCAAATGACACCTACCAATGCAAACTCAGGTCTTCGGAGTTGAGTACACTATTATTCTGCTTTAGCAAAACTGCTTCTAAGAGGTTAAGAAAGCAGTCCCATCCCGTGAGAGCCAGGCTCAGGAGGGCTGTTGTGGGGCCTGGGTGCCCGCCACGTCACAACACTGTAAGGATCCCATTGCAAGGCCAGGTCTAAGGCAGTGGCTGTACATCAGGGCAGGTGGAGGAAGGGGAGCAGAGGGGGCGCTTCAGTCAGAGTTGGCTAGGGGGAGACTTCTCAAAGGGCGCATCCCAGAACTAGGCAGACTGTGAGGATATGAGAAGTGAATGTATAAAAGATGCTGGTTCTGGTACCACTTTCACTCTAGCTGAGGGTAAATACAGGTTGGCCACTTCTTGGGAGCTGGGTCAGATTTCCCTGAGACCATGTGGCATTGGTGACCCCTGACTGGCCAAAGGCCTGCTCTGTAGGCCACAGGCACAGATTGGCAGGTGGGCTGGGCAGGTGACTAGACACTGAAAGTACAGAGGAGGGTGCTCAGGGCAGGTGGAAATGACAAAAACATGTTTTACTCACTTCACAGTTTTGCCCAGAGCTGGCTCTGGTGCACAGTACCTGAGGTCAAGTGCAGAGGGACAAAAGCAGAGCAGTTTTCAAATCACTTCCATTTCCCCTTACCTCTGGCACACGTGCCAATCTTGAAAGTCCCAGGTGTCTACTTCTGCTGTGCCTGGCACATGACAACACAGACTGAAACCACAGTTGGGCAACAGAAACTCTTGGGTCAGGAAGCCGGTGGCAACCCCCAGGGAACCCTTTCTGGGCCAATGGAAGTAAACAGCGGGGCAGCCCGTGCTTCGGCATCCCAAGACTGGGCAGGCAGATGTGTGGAAGGAAGCTCTGTCCTGCTGTCCTCAAAGAAGGGAACGCATGACTCCTGTTAACCGCTTACTCTGGTTGATCATTCTCCTTGACAGACAGACAGTGTGTCTGTACACACCGGCTATCGCTGTTCGTTCACTTCATGTTCAGCTCTGTCTGCCCTTGACCCCGTCTAGGCCTAGTCTGGTGTCCTGATCCTGTGTCCTGATAGTATCTCTCTTCTGGGATGGGGAGGCAGGCACCCAGGCCACTGTCCCGGACAGCAGCACGGATTGCACGATCGCTTGTAATGACAGGATCACTTGAGATGACACTGCTGGGGAGGATTTGGATGGAAGAAAGTTGGAACGTCGTGGCCCAAGGATTTTGAAGAATTTTTCCAGTAATCTTTGGAAGGTTACTGTAAGTCAGTAGAAAGCAGTGAGATGAACAGAAGTATGTGCGTGTGAACACACACACACACACACACACACACACAGTAGCTCTGAAGTGACAGATTTGCTGTGGCCCCTGGGATAGCGAAAGAAGGAAAAAGGGCAGAAGAAATCTCACCAACCTTAGTGTACATAGAAATTTTCCATCAATACCTGGGCTTGCCTTTGCAAGCATCCTATCTTCCACGTTTGACCTGTTCAGATAATCACTGATACTGCTTGACACCATTTAAACTTGAGGCAGGCCCACTGGCTCCTCTCTTACCTGGACTGCCCAGTGCAGAGCTGTTTTAAAGTCCTTATCCACAAGGGTGGGGTCTGCCCCCTTCTTCAGTAGCATTTGGGTGTGCTGAGGCTGGTTGTGGAAAGCTGCCCAGTGGAGCGGCGTCATTCCCTACAACAAACAATCGGAGAGGGCTGAGGTGAGCACAGGCTGCTGCGAGGAAATAGCAGTCACGGTAAATCACTCATTCACTAAGCCTTTTGAGCAGCAGGTATTTATTAAGCCTCTGTTTCTCTCCAGATCTGGGGACAATCACCAAATGGGCCAGTTGCTTCTAGCTAGACCGCTCATTTGCTAAACCACTCGTGCAACAGGTATTTGTTAAGCTTCTGTTTGTGTCAAGCCAATAGGCATTGAGGCTACAGAAGTAAGATAGAAGGACCCTTTGGGAGCTGCTTATTGGAAAAAGAGGCAGATAACAGAGGCTCGAAAGCTCATCAGAGGGCTTTCTGGATTAAGTGTACACCCAGAGTGCTGAGTTAGGGTTGCCGAGAGGGTGCAGCCTGCTCTGAAAGGCCTCTGTGCGAAGAATCAGGGGAAGAAGCGGTCCAGCACCCAGTCACTGAGACAGACTACGTTCAAGGAAGGTCCCTGGGACTGAAGTCACGGTACGATGTGAACCCCTCCTCAAGGGCAGCGACCAGTGCAAACTCCAAAAGAAAAGAAAAGAAAAAGAAAGAAGAAAGAAAGAAAGAAAGAAAGAAAGAAAGAAAGAAAGAAAGGGAAAGGAAAGGAAAGGAAAAGAAAGGAAAGGAAAGAAAAGGAAAGGAAACTGAGCCCTAAAGGAGTCCCCAGTCCCCTGAACACAGAAGGAAATCTAGGAATTGAAGTTTGTGTGACACTGGCTTAGAATGGTGAATCCCCTCAACCAGTTCCAAATTTTAACTTTTAAACTATGGTGCGTCTGCAGGATTCAAGTTTCAAGTGTCAAATAACACTCCCGAGAGATTCTTCAGGCTATTTCACGAACATCGGACATCGGTTCTATATTCAGGAGAATGCTGGTTGAAGGAGTGCTTGCCGCCACTTAAGTAGCTGGAGTTTTACTTCTGAGTACTCTAGGATATTTTAAAGAGTCCTGTTCGTTTCCACCTGGGCCCACGGGATTAGAAATCCGAAATCCAAGGAATTTTATTTATTTACTTAATTTATTTATTTTTGTGCAGCATCTCAGACTCGTAGCGATTCCCCCGTTTTCAGCCTCCCTAGCGCTGGGATTACAGGCGTGCAGCACTGCGCCTGGATTCTGTTGCCGGCTCGGTGCGCCCGGGGGCGGAGCCGCCGTGGCCTGTGCCAGGGATGGGGTTTCATTTTTTAAAACTGTGCACAGATCACTCCTCTCCCAGGTCGCGCTTCCATTTGTTTCAGCACCACCGGCTGCACCAAGAAGTACCAAGGGAACAGAGAGTTACATTAGTACGCGTATGCGGTGCGTGATGGTCGCGTTTATCCGGCGCCTTGCACGCCGCGCCACCCCTCAGTTCTTCTCCTGTTTCCCCTCCTATGCCTCCAACTCTTGTCTCTCTTCCCATTTGCCAAAGCTCTTTTTCCACTTTCCTTCAGTTCTCTTTTGTCATCCCTTCTCTCTTCCTTCCCTTTTTTCTACTCTATTTCTCGTTCCCTTTCCCATTTGAAAAATATTTCCCTATTTCCTATCATCTATCATTTATTTTGCTCTTCATTTATAGTTTGGGTTTCTCACATAGGAGAAACCACGAGATACTTGAGGTTGTGGGTCTGATTTCTTTCACTTAGCATTATGGTCTCAAGGTGCCTCCATTTACCTATGAATGCCGCAAGTGTATCCTTCTTTATGACCGAGTAGCGGTCCGTTGTATATAAACACTTCATTTTCTTTATCCATCCATGGCACAAAGACACCTAAGTCACTTCTAAGATTTAGCCATTGCGGATCATGTCACTATAAAGATGGATGGATATGCATGTGTCACCGTAATGACTTCACCTCCTTGGTCATGACAACTGTGTCAAATGGAATTTCTATTTTTAGGCTGTTTTTTCTTTGTCTTTTTTTCCCCCAGTACTAGGGATCAAACTCGAAACCTTGCACTTGCCAGGCAAGCACTTATGCAGGTGAGCTATCTCCCTGGTCCCTCTATTTTTAGTTTTTTGAGGAATCTCCACTCTGCTTTCCATAGTGGCCATACGAGCTTCCATTCCCACCCACAGCGCTGAAGGGTTTCTTCTCCTCCCATTACCTCACCAGCATTTGTTCTTAGTTGATTTATGATGACAGGCATTCTTTCTGGAGAGAGATGGTATCTCAGTGTTGCTTTCATTTGTATTTCTCTAATGGCCAGTGTTAAAAATATTTAAAAAATTGGAAACAAACTAAATATGCATTCATAGGGGAAGGGCTCAATCAGTAGAGGTATTTTCACAATCTAGAATGCTATGAAGCCATTGAAAAGAATGTGTCAGATAAATATCTAGCAACATAGATAGAGTCCTAAGGGACATTCTTGAGTTACAAAAAGTTACAGGACAGCATGGGGTGTGATACTTTTCATGTAATACTCCGTAGTTCTTGTGACTGTATATTTAAAAGACTGGGAAGGAGATTCATCACATGGTGAATACAAGGGGCAAAAGAGGCAGGGCAGAATGAGTCAAGGACTTTATTGCATTACTTGTAATATTTAAATTGTGCAAAAACACTGATTCTGGCTTTACTGGTTTTGTTTCCTGGTGTTTGGCAGATGCAGGGTGTGTCAGTTTTAGCTGTTGTCCCCACCCCCTCGTGCATAAAGAAAGCTCATTAAAGAGGGAGGATCGCCAGGAGGGTGATTATTTAATACACAGAGAAGCTAAATATAGAAATCCCACCCAAGTAATAAACGAAAATGAAAGCTTGGAGTTGGGCGTGGTGGTCTACATGCATAATCCCGGCACTCAGGGAGGTCGAGGCAGGAGAACTGCAAGCGTGAGGCCCAGCCTGGGGAACTGTGTGGCCTAGAGAGACCCTGTGTCAAAATTTTTAAAAAAGAGGAGAGGGCTTAGGGATGTAGCTCGGCCCAAAGGCCATGAGTTCGGTCTCTAGTAACACATAAGGTTAGGCTGAGTTCTTCCCCTTGTAGGATTGCCATTATTATTATTTTTGGTGCTGGGGATCAACATAGGGCCTAGTTAGGCAAGCACCCCACCGCTGACTGTACCCCTAGCCTTCATAATTGTCTTCATCTTTCAATGGCAAAGAGCTTCTTGTCCTTGAAAATCTACACTGATGGGAGCACACTGACACTGACAAAATGCGCACACATATCCACCGGGCTTTGCATAATTATGGATTTCATATCTATAGGTTCAAGCAATTGTAGATAGAAGATATTTGGGGGAAAATTATGTTGGTACTAAAGTTGCACGGACTTATTTCTTGTCAGTATTCCATAAACAATAAGAACTATTTACATAGCACTTACATTGCATCAAGTGTCATAAGTAATTCATAGTTAAAGTAGATGGTAGGCTATGCATGGGCTATACGCAAATACTATGCTATTTTATAGAAGGGACTTGAGCATCTTTGGGCTTTGGTGTCTCAAGTGGGACTTGGAACCATCCCCATGGGGATCAAGGACGACTATATGGCAAATATAGTACAGTGTGAGAAACGCAGGCAAACATTATTTAGTTTCAGGTGGACTTCAGACCTGCTGTGACGTGGGTCAAAGAGGAACTGTGACACTGCATAGGAAGTGTCTCTTTTGAGGCCACTACATTTTGCACATAAAACTCTGTGGGTCCAAATACTGGTGTAATAGCAAAAGGAATCTTTTCCCATTTTGCAAGAGGAGAAACAAAGGAACTTTGAAATACTTGCCATGCATTATCTGCAAGATGTTGCGATTGCCACTCTTAGTTCTGTGTCTAATTTCATTGTTTTTATCAACCCGAGGCCTCACAGTCCAGAGGAAAGAATGAAACGGTGGCCTTTGGGGAGGTATTGGTTCATCTGGGCAGTGGACAGGATTGGAGTCTATCAGTGTAACTTAGCGTTAGTATACGAGTGACTGAATTACTGCCTTCCTAAATAAGACCCACTTAGAAGGTAAGGGCAGGGCCTTTGGGTGGAGGAAGTGGTCAGAAACCTTCTTAGCAGTCTTCTGACAGAGACTGCAGCCACTCGAGCACCCTGCTTTCACAGCCATGGGCAGAGAGTGACTGGCGTGCCTGTGTCATTGCTGCTGCTTATTCTTAAAGCAGAAGTTCAGCCGTCCTCTGTGTCCTCTGGGGTCTGGCATTAAACCTTGGAGAATTAGGGGAGTGAAAGCAGCCTGTGGCTTAAGCTGGGGTGGTGCACAACCGCAGACCCAGCCTGCAAATAGGGGCTTTTTGGTGTGGTCACTGATGCTATCAGAAGGAGACCTTTGAGCAAAAGGCTCAGCACAGAGGCGAGGGGGTGGAGGTTCATACCAGAAGAAAGTTATTAAGGGGCTTACTTCTACCCAGTTAGCTGCGGCTAGCTGGCCTCCTCAAAGATACTGTAGGACGGCATTTTATATGTATGTGTCTTCAGTATTATTAAACTCTTCTACTATCACCAGATCTTCTTGGTAACGTGCACCCAAATCAAACACATATTTATAAAGAAATTCCACCCAAATCCTGGTATTATTTAAATTGGCTTTAAGAAGCTTGCTAAAGAAAGCATGCTGGCTAATGAAAACCAGAACTACTTTTCAAAAGAGTTGCAAAGCTATAGCCAGAACCTAAGCTGCTCCTGGGCACGCCTGCAGCGTCCAGCTCACTGTCCTCCAAGAACTCTGCTTGAGTCGGAGGTTGTCCTGTGGAAGCATCCACTGCATTGCTTTTGTAATGCTCACCAGGATTAAGAAGGGGACCTCTGGGGCTGCTGCTTGCTGTCTAAGTTTCAGGGACTTGAGAACGCAGGAGAAGGCAATATTTATTTCTCAATGTCCAGAGGGAAATTACAAAATTTTAGTCGTCTGACTAATGCTTAAGGGTTTAACGCAACACAGTCCTTCCTATAGAAGCTACCCATGCCCACGGTGGGGATCCATGCCTGCCAGCAAGCAGATATGCAGTGGAGACATAGGCTTCCTTTTCACGGTAGGAACACAGAAATGTACTCCATTTCTCCCTTTCCAGAGGAAGCCCTTTGGCTCCGAGGGGCCCTGCCACCCCACCACTCCCAAGCAAAATGACAATGCCTGGCTGAGAGGAGGGCCTCACCTCATTGTCCTGGTGGTTGATTTCGCTGAGGTTGGACTGCTGCAGCAGGACGGTCAGGAGCCTGGAGGGGAAAACAGCGATGGTCCAGCAAGGCTGCCACGGGCCTTCCATTAGACATACAAACACAACATGAGAAACACAGGCAGCTGGAGGACTCCGAGTGGTGGTGAGGCCCTTCCTGTGGGTCTGAGAGAGAGCTCAACACATGGCGAGGATGAAGAAGGTGCCCGTGAAGAATCCCTCTGTCTGGTCCCACCTCTTTCCCATTTTGCTGTTCCCCTGTGGGCCGGGGGACTGAGAAAGCAAATCTTTAGGCACTATTTATTCATCAGCTCATCTTATCCACGTGCCTCAAGGACTAAGATCATTCAGTGCTTCTTCTCCATCCATTTCATGCAATCTTACTATTTTCACATTGCTTCTTTCCACGTGCCTACGTCATACGCCTTTCAAATACAGGCAGTACCGGCAGCTAGCCGGCACTGAAGATTTCGCTCCTTCTTTGTAAACTGGACAAATACCTGAACAGAAGACGGCAGTAACTGATGGGGAACAGTGTGGTCAGTGATTCTCAGGCTCAAGCTCTCATGTCACGTGAGTTACACACTTGGCTGAATGAAGCCCGTACTGTTTCTGTGACAGAGAGAGGTGGTTGGACACAGCAGTCGGTTCCAGACCCTGGAGCCAAACTACTGGGGTTCACATCCTACCTTGGCCACGGACTAAGTCTGCAACCTGCAGCAAGTTACTTAGCCCCTCTTTGTGCAAGCTGCTTTATCTGTGACACGGGAGCAGCGAGTGCCCTTCTTCCAGCCCAGTGTTGAAGATCAAATGAGCTAATACGCACAGAGCACTAGAGCTAATACGCACAGAGCACTAGAGCTAATACGCACGGAGTACTAGAGCTAATACGCACGGAGCACTAGAGCTAATACGCACAGAGCACTAGAGCATGCCTACAGCACAGCAGATGCTACTTCTAGAACTCTCAACTTCAGATATTGGAGCATCGGCCCAATCTCGGGCCACTGGGGCAGAGTTGTAACCCACAGACACCTTGATTCTAAACTAAGGGTCTCTAGAGCATGTCTGGGAGAAGCCTAGCTTTATGGTTCAGAGAAGTTGTTTAGAAGATACAGGTAAACAGTCCAGGTTGTTTTCATCCACCAGGAAGGTGATGGATGAGTTGCTCAGTGTTCATTTATCCATCAGGATGATAAAGAACAATGCAGGGCAAGCTGGGAGTGAAATTCCAAATGATTTTTGGAAGCACTGTTTGAAAAATAAAATTGTTTTTTTCCCCATTAAAAAAATTTTAAAGCGAATAAAAAAATAGTAAAAAAACAGCATTAGTCTCTTCTCCAGTCAATTCTTACACTTGGCTCATGTTTAAAGCACTAAGTTTTTGACTGCTATTTATATTAGAAGAAAAGAAAGCTGGGCCAACCATTGCCTTGGGAGTAAACATAACCCAGACAGCGTAAGTAAGGGCCCAATTGTGGGTTTGTGCTGTGGGGCTGAACTAGCAGGGCAGCTTAGGATTCAAATGTGGGCACTGAGTTTTGGGGGACCAGGCTGCTACGGAGCCTTAATTCTGACCTCAGTGCTGTGCGACCTTTTAGAGCTTCTGTATCCTCAAGGGGTACAATGGAAGCGATGAGAAAAAGCGGTGGTATGGAGGACGGAATGACACAACAGGCAGAAAGCTCCTGGCGCATGAAAATATGAGTGTCCATGCCCTAGATCAGTGCATCGATCTCTGTTACGCTTTCTGAACTCTCGACTCACCTTCTGTCTGGTAGGAAGGTGTAATAAAAACAATTGAATTCAGATAGCACTGTTATTACTTTTCTAATTCTTTCATCATGAGTTATATTGTCCCATACGTTTCCCCTGTGGCTGCTCTATGGCCAGAGGCAGGGTTTTGCTGGTGCCTGCCGACTGCCCCTTATCAGTGGTCAGTGTCCAGCTCCAGGGCCCTTCAGCGGGGTCCAGTGACAGGTGAAGCCCTGCAGGGAACTGTGCCCAGTACAGTCATATTCTCGGTTAGCCCTGGCAGATTGAGCTGATCGGTAGGATTTTCTGGGGCTGCTCCGGTGCACGGGGGCCTCATTGAGGGAGGTGGCTGCTTTCTGCCTGTGGCTCCCGTTCCTCTTAGGCCCTTCTCCCATAACCACAGCAACCCCCGCAATGCTCAGAGGGTCCCCAGCAGGTACCTTCCTTGCCCTATGTAGCCTAGAGAGTGGTGACATCTTCCTACTCCTTAGGGAAAAGTAGAGGTGGAGCAGGGAGGTAAATTAACATCTGCTGTTGGTTAGTATTAAATAATCTTTCACTAGAATTTCTTCCATTGCCTCCTTTGGGTAGCAGGTCTTCCTTGTTGTGACCTTGAGTGATTTATGCCAATCTCCATTGCCAGGTTCCATTTAATTCCTATCTGTAAGCCTCATGGATTTTCTTTTCTTTTCTTTTTTTTTTTTTAAGATTTTACTTAGGATTTTATTTATTTATTTATTTATTTATTTATTTATTTTGCAGAACTGGGGATCAAACTCAGGCCCTTGTGCTTGCCAGGGAAACGCTTATTCCACTGAGCCATCTCCCCAGCCCCATGGGTTTTCAAAGCTGGATACAGATTTACAGATAAAGTCTCTCTCTCCCTCTCCCTCTCTCTCTCCCTGTCTCTGTCTGTCTCTCTGTCTCTGTCTGTCTGTCTCTATCTCTGTCTGTCTCTGTCTCTGTCTCTGTCTGTCTGTCTCTGACTCTGTCTCTCTGTCTCTCTTTTGCCCTCCTCCCTCTCTCCCTCTGTCTCTCCCCCTCTGTCTCTGTCTGTCTGTCTCTGTCTCTATCTGTCTCTCTGTCTCTGTCTGTCTGTCTCTCTGTCTCTTGCCCTCCTCCCTCTCTCCCTCTCTCCCTCTCTGTCTCTCCTTTCATGAAAGAACAAACCGGAAGTCTACGCTGTCTGCTAAGGCTGCTACACAGTAATGGCCCAGTGGTCCAGTCTGTGTCAGGAAGGTGATGAGATGTCAGCCCGGCACTTCTCTGCTGTTGGGTGATGTATAAGCAAGATGCCCGTTCACCTCTGTCTCCAGTCCCAGGCAGCTCGAAGCCATCTTTGGCCTGTCTTCTCAGAGTTTCCATTTGTGCTCTAGTGGTCATGGCTATTTCTCCCCTCTATTCCTGCTGGCACCAAGTCCAACTCCTCCTGTTCTTCCATCTCTGAGGCAGCACCACAAAGCCCACCTCAGGCCAGACCAGTAGGCCTGAGAGCCCAGCAGGAGCCATTCCAGACAAAGAAAAGTCCACGATTAGAGCACAGGGTCAAGGAGGGCCCCATTATTAGACTGCCCACACCCTGCTAATCAGCCAGGACCTTGGGCAGGCTATGAAGCTCATTAAGCCTGTCTTTTCCTAACTGCAAATTGGAAAGGATCATAACTCCCAATTCCTAAAGATTTGCTATGACTTTGTATGAGTCAATGCATAAATGCACTTATAATAGCTATTATCAATCTATCTCAAAGCTCCTGCCTTCTTTTTTCCTGAATCTCCCTTGTTGACCTAAAGCCCAATCATGGGCGGGGGAAATGGTTCCCAAGCCAGCGGCGTCCTCTTCCTGACGCTGCCTGCGTGTGAGAGTACACTGTAGACAGAAGGCCACGCTGCACTGCAGCGGGTCCTGACTGCAGAACAGGTCCCCGAGGAAACGATTTCCTTCCTCTCTCTGGCTGTAGTCAAGAGTGATGAAAGCAGGCAGAGCTGCTGGCACTGTGGTCGTGGTGGCGAACCTGCCAGTAACTATGGCGACCGTGCAAAAGGCCTTTGGAGAGCCCTGTGGCTGCTTTCAGAGGAAATTGCTCCCTGCCTTCCAACACTGGCGTGCGCAATGCTATACAAACACAACTCTGTTCTCTTTGGATCTTTGCCTGAGTGATCCTGCCCCTTGCTTTACACCAGAGCCCCCTGAAAGCCCTGGGGTCTGAAAGGAGAAAACTTAGACCTGCTGAGAAGCCAAGCATTCGAAACAGGAAGGGGGCTCCTGAGGTGGAACCCATGATCCTCGGCTTGTGTCAGTTCAACATGTCTTCGTGCTCACAACTATAAACCACCTATTCCTGCATCAGCTTCAACCCCCACTGCACTGGGATTTGGCTGCAGATGTGGATTGGCGCCAGTGGGCTTGCTAGGGAGTTACTTCCATGAGGAAACTGGAATTCCTCAAAGATCAAGGGTTAACCGAAGTGTCTCCTTGGCTTGTTTATGAGCAGCTTTAGTTTGAGGCTTTCCTCTGAATAATCTCCACTGAGAATTAAGTAGAAAGGAGTTTGCTCAGAGTTTTGTTTTGTTTCTTTCCAGTACCAGATATTGAACTTGGGACCTGAGCTTGCCAGGCAGGTACTTATGCCACTGAGTTATATCCCTGGAGCTTGCTCAGTGATTTTAACACCCGTATAAACACCTTGGGCCTGTGCATTATGCTTAGCCTTAGGACAAAAATTTGGATGTAGCTGCATTAATGAAACTGGCAAGGAAGTTTATAGGGGGCAGAACGGTTGGTTTTGCTGCGCATAGGCTTCCGGATGGGCTCTGGCAGCAGTCTACTTTCCTGCATCAATACAAGTAGGAACGCTGTGCAAATCTCAGCGTCCTTTGCGGTGAACATGCGTGCCAGATGCTAGGATCTGGGTTCAGGGTTTGTGTATGGCCAGGTGAAGGCCCAGGCGGGAGCTGGTGGAGTGGCAGTAACAGGATGTCATTGCCTCGCGCTGATACAGGATATGGCTTCAGCACATCTCCATTATCACTGGCATCATCGTGGTGGTTACCATCTGTCTCATCACCACCACCATCATCATCAAGAGCAATTCCTGAACACGGACAGCGCATGGACAACAAACGTGACGCCATTTTCCGTATTTCCTGCATATTTTTTGCTTACTTGTGTCTATATTCCTGAAGTGTAAGGATTTTCATTCTCCCTATTTCTAGGAAATAAAGCCATATGTTACCTGGACCAAGACAAACCAGTTGGCAAGAGACAGGGCAGGATCAGATTCAGTCTGACTTCTGGTTACTCTTGACCTTAACCTAAGAAGGATTTTAGTTACATGAAGGAAGACAGAATAAGTGAAGGAACCAGACAAAGGAAGAAGGGATGAATAAAGAAGATTTGATAGCACTACATGTGCCCAGAGCTGGGATTTCAGTTGGGTTTTGAGTTTTTTAAACAATATAAAGAGAGAAACACAGTCATAAATCACAGAGTTCATGGAATAAAATACAAAATAATTTATTGGAAACCCAGAAATTCCTCCTTTAGGAGAAATTTTTCCTGTGGCTGCATGTATAAGATATTTTAGATTCTGTAATGAATAAAAAATGTACTGGCGAGGGGCCAGTATGGGTTTTTTTTTGGTAAGGTTGTTTCTTGTAAGGTCTCTTAACACAGGTCAAGGGTTATTAGCAAAAGTCAGCCAATCTAACAACAGTGGGTCTGAGAACACAGCAATGTCCTTGGCAGGGTACAGCCGTATGTCAGCAGGCAGGTAATTAGCGCTCCTGTGCCTCAGCTTACCTATTTGTTATCTGAGGAGAGAAATACTATCTATTGCAGACAGCAGCAGTGAAGATGGGATTAAGGAGAGCTTGGGGGAACACTGAGAACTTTGGTCAGAACGCGATGATAACTGTCAGCATCGCTGTCACTGCAGGCGACGTACAGACCTGCTTGATTCAGTGCTTGACCAACCTGGCTCAGACTGTGTGGTCCTGGGGAGGGCGAGTGGTCAAATGCGCTGCCCGTGCCCCGAGAGAAGAGCTCTGCCTTCCCCATCACGGTGATGGGATTATCAAGCACCTATAAATCTGACCACTCTTTTAGTTTTTCAGAAAACAATTCAAAGTTTATACCAATGCACAAACAAATGCATGACTACAGTCCAGCTCTGTGACAGAGTATCACTTGCTTAGTTTCTGCTTTAAAAAAAAATTTTTTTTTGAGACACTCTCACTGTATAGCCCAGACTGACCTTGAGCTCGTGGCAACCCTCCTGCCTCAGCCTCCTTAGTGTTAGGATTCCAGGCCTGTGCCACCACACCTGCCTTCTGCTTTAAATATTTAATGAAGATGTTACTTAATGCAGTTTCTGCCTGGACTATAAAATTTGTTAATAAAATTATAAAATATTTAATTTGCAGTCATTAATTTCACAGGAAATTCTGCAAGGCAACCTGAGTTCTAGATGTTCTTTAGGTAATTAAGCTAGTTGATTTGCTGCATGAGTTGTTAGAATTTAACTCAGTTGATTTGGAGGATGTTTTCTAGAAATATTACTTTTGGTTTTGGAGTAATTTCAACTTTGGGATTTTCTTAGTTAAAGCATCTAGCATTATTGCTGACTAAAGCAGGATTTTATCTTTCTAAATCAAACGTCCATTCAGGACAATATAAGCAATCGCCAGCACACACAGGCAGATGCTTATTTTTCTGGCTTCCACTCCTCCAAAGGTGGTGGCTACACCATTAGGTACAGTTTCAAAAGAAGGTGAGGCTACCGCTCTCTGCTGTCCTCCTAGCTACAGCAATGTAATAGATTTCAGAGTGTCCAGCAGCACTTCTGGGTATAATAAAAGGGAGATATTCAAATCCACAAGAGAGGACACACACGGGGATTGGTTTTCAATCTATGACTGCACTGATTTCAAAGGATGGGTCTTGTGGTTGACCATAGGACTTAACTGGTCGGTCAGACTTAACAGACCCTGAGTGTGATTTTGACTAATAAGGCTTAGTTCACTTCTTACTAGTTGATGGCACAGCTAGCTAGGTGTCCACCAACACCCATGTCTCCCTGTCATGGAAGAGCCTCACTGATGGGAATTAGATTCCTGGCGAGGGACTATATTCTCTGGAATCACTAACACCCACAATGTCTCAATGATATGTTTTAGTGGAATAGGAATAGAAGTGATGGTGTCATTTGCAAGTTGAGGTTTTAAAAAACAAATGAGGTTCTTCTAGGTTCTTTGTTCCCCAACTGCAGGCTGAATGGAGGATGCTCTATGATGCTAAGGGGCCCTGGAGCCACAGAAGGGAGAGCTCAGCTTCCTGAATTGCCACATGAAGGGAGTACCCATTACCTGAGGCCACTCACTACAGTGGATTGCTACACGTCTGAGAAGCAAATTTTTATTGTGTTAAAACACTGAAGCTTTGGGTTTTATCTGTTACAGTAGCTTTTATTACCAGGACTTAGGATTTTATCTCCCTGAATCAGTTAGTAGATTTTAAATGAGCTGCTCTGAGTGAAGCAGAGAATGGCAGTTAAGCACAATAAATCGAGGCAGGAAAATCTTAAAAGATAAGTTTGACACTTATAAAGACCACTCTTGGAAAGACTACAATTTTGTGGCTAAATATGTGTGTGCTTGTCTGGAGAGACCATTCTTTTTTTTTTTTTTTTCTTTGCCTATTTTATTTAAAATTCATCGGAAGGCAGTCATCCCCTTACACAATGTTTATTGATTGTTAACTGTCTGGGCTTCTCTAAATTTCTTTGCTTTGTTGAGCTTTGGGTAAATTCTAGTTTTCTGTTATTTCTGGAGCTAGCCCAAGCCTTGAGTGAGTGGCAAGCCCTGGGAACGGGCCTGGAATTCCCCAAGCCCTTTTACTTTTCTGCAGAAGTGACTGAAATGAAGACATCTTATTATCTCTCCCAATTATGTCCTTTTTCTCCACAGTCCCGCAGAGCTCTAAGTTTTCGTTTTGTACTTGGCTGGGGGGCAAGGAATACAGAAAACTGTCAGCGGTGCTGGCCCGTGGCCTAGGTCTGTGGGATGCCACATTCCTGCCCAAGGTATGTGCTGGAGAAGCATAAGCCGAGGAAGAGCCCCCAGTAGGACCATTTCATGGCAGGAGTCACTACTACCAGCTGCTGAGAGGGGCTTTCAAGAGAATGGAGAAGAAGCCAGGCAGACACAAAGCAATGCGAAGTTTCCCAGGGTCTGGCCAAAACTTATTCTTGGTTGCTCAATTGTCTCACAAAAATTCCGCTGCCTTATACAATGACTTTCCTGGAGTCTGCTCCTTCACATGACTTCCAGGAGCCAACACTTCTGGTTTTCCTTGTAATCTCCTAGCCCCAGTTCCTAGATATAAGGTAGATTCTGGATTTAGACAGTAATCTCTCTGCGCAGTCATTTTTTAAAAAGTTGTGCCTAATGTTCTTCAATATGCTTGTCGTTGTTAGAAATCCCATTCCTTTGTCTCCCAATAGGCCACTTAACCCTTCTCTATGAACCATAGTTGGTCCATAATAAAGGCTCCATAAATATTAATTGAATAATAATGCAGAACTAGTTCAACCAATTTAATAGTTTTCGAATAATTGACTGACTTATTGAATGAGTACATGGATTCTGGAGTATTTCTTCTTAAATCAAATTCTAGGAGAAAAAGGTTTTATTGAAATAGAAGAGAAATGAGATTTGAAATTAGAATTTAAGACTATTCTGCTCTGTCTGTTAAAACTTAAAAAAATTTTTTTTTGAAAAGAATAGGTTTTGTTTTTATTTTTTTATTTTTTATTTTTTTTTTTTACAAGAAATGTGCATTAGTTTATTAATTAGTAAAAGGATAAGGCAGTCTCTGCATATCTTATTTAAAAGCATTTGGTGATTTAGCTTATTTTTTTTTAATTTTTATTTATTTATTTTTTTTCTACAGTTTTATTGATAAACATATAGCAATGAGACAGTTTCAAATCAAATCGGAAGGACAGTTTCAACAAATAATACACTGCATATATTCTTCTTAGTGGTTAATTGCTGTACAAGATGCGGACTTGTGATCCTATTTACAAACACCATTAGAACAAATCATTCCAGTCATTAAGACAATGCAACTATATATCTACCCCAACCACTTTGAATACACAGATACAGAATGGACATTCATCGGTGTACCCCATTTTTCCTAAGTTCCGTTACTGAATATTATAGGTGTGTAAACTCAGCAAAATATTCTAAAAGAGTCCAGTAGCCCATAATAGCATTGGGTCTTCTGTTTAACTGGCAATGTCAGAAATTATTGACCTGAGTCCCCCACAGCTTAACTTAACAGCATGGCTTTATTTCTTATATTTCGTCTTCATACTTTTCTACTGGATGGTTAAGACCAAGGTAAAGCAGGACCTGTGCAACAAGAGTTGTAGCTTTTTGGTCTGAGAAGGTCAATGAAATGCCCTCAGGATTTGTCCTGAGATCCTGTACCTCAGATTGTAGAACCTTTATCAGTGCAGCCATGTGGATGAGTCACGACCATTGCTTGGCCAATGTGCTCTCTGTGAAAGCCTGAGAGAGTGTCTTCTCCTCATGTGACTCTCCTTAGGCCCACTCTATGTCATCGATCACTTTCCTCTTTGGCCTCATAATCTTCTTGATCAGAAAATTTGGGACACTACCGAGGTACATGACGTTACAGTACAAGTTCTCATATGTCCTGAGTCTTAATTGACCTTGAAAGGCTAGGGCCAAAAAGTTGGCTTTCCTTGTAGCCCTCCTTTTTCTCTAATTTTGGTCTGCAAACTTAGGTTGTTACCCATCCAGAAGAAAAGCTTATTGTTATTATCAAATGATTTAGGCTATCAATCTTATAGGTTTTGTTTTTATGAGCTACAGATGGACAGATATTGGATGGCTTTCTAAGGCAAATTGGATCTCTCCCCGCTGGTACGCTGTGGGGACCTGGGTGCTCACCTTACGTCGGGCTCGGCGGTGGCAGCGTGAAGCGGAAGGCGGCCATTTTTATCTGGAATATTATGCTTGGCACCATTTCTGAGAAGACTCACACAGCCTTCAAGCCAACCCTGAAAGGCAGGAGCAAACCACATGATTATGTAACACAGACTGCTCCAGTGCAGGCCAACACATTTTCTCTAGTCCCACTCCCCTTCTTTGGTTTGGCTAAAAGCATGTTTTATTTGTCTTGAAATAGTTAAGGACCACAATTCCAATTAGACAGGTCAAGAGAAGCTGAAAATCTTGAGCTACAGATTTCCAAGACTTCTAGAAGACCAACCCTAGATTCTCTTTTGTCTCCCACTTCTCTTTTCCAGGAGCAGTCTTATTGATAGGTCTGTACCAGTTTCCATGGCTACCGGTGACATTTGACAGGGGATTGAACCTGATTCAGCCCCTCATTCTGTGCGCTTATCTTCAAATCATGCTTGTCTCTGGTTTGACTTGGATGTCACCATCCAACTCTTAAAAAAGTGGACTCCTATACCATTTCTGAGTCCCAGCATCTGTTCTTCACCCCAGTTTATCTGCATCTGATGCATAGACCTGGCCCTCTTTTCCAAATACTTTTTCTCGCAGCCACACTGTTGCATCTTGCTTACCCCACTCAGTCCTCACCTCAGTGCCTAGAAGCCTGACCCAAGTCTCACTCTGCAGGCAGGGATCTGCCATGAACAGCCCGAAGCCTTAAATGTGGAGGTGCCACAAACATCTTCCAAGCGCTTCCCATCGGTATGTTTCACTTGCCTATGAAGCCCCCTGCCTGCTGCCCACTGGCTGTTCAGACTGAGAAGTGACATTGCCACGTCCCTTCCTTGGCTGGCACTATTCACTGCGTCAGCTTCCTGCCACCTTTCCTGCTTCACAGGTCAGGGCTGATCTCTGGCTAGCCCTCCCTCTCTGCGCCGTGCTACTTTCGGCTCTCATGTTGTGCAGGCGGCCTCCTACTTTCATCCAGAACTGCTGGGGTTACTCACCCAAATTATACATAGACTAACAATAAATGAAACTATTATTATAGAGAATAATGTGAGAATTCTCTCTTCTGTTCAGAAGCAGCTTCCTGCCTTTCTCTATTTGTGTGTAGTTAAGCCTCAAAATTTCCCAGTAAGATGTAAAAGATGACTAAAGTTTTCCCCACTAACATAATATTGGAAGTATTAAAAATAAATTAATGTTAATAAATGCAGGAAGAAGAAGGAACGTCATGATAAGAAAAGAACCTTTCTGTAAGTCTGGAAAAGAACTGTCAACAAAAGTACATTAAAAATCTCAGGTTGATTCATACTTTACTAGTATACTAAACCTGTTCTCAACTCCTAGTGTCTAGGTCATCAAGTTCTTGGGTGAAAAGGGGAAAAAGTGAGCAGGAGGCCCAAAAGAAAGAAACAACGAGCAAATCCTAGAGTTGCTCAAGATTCACAGATTTTGAAAAGCACATCTTTGGTGGGGAAAGATTTGAAACATTTAAAAAAAAAAAAAGAATTTTGCAACATTTCCTGGATCTCCATGTATGTCTGTGGTTTTCTTTTTTCTTTTTTTCAGAAAAAAAAACAGGAAGCTATTGAAGATATCTTAAACTGTTACTACTTTTCAGAACCAGCTGTGTGCTGGCTGACTCCACGTGGGGTTCTCCTTCGATTGTGACAGAGCCAGGTTATTGTTTTTCCTACTTTTTCAAATGAAGAAGGAAGCACAAAGAGGGGAAGTGACTGGCTCCAGGTCACACATAAGGTCTACCCTGAATTTATAGCTGTGACCAAACACTTGAGCCCAGACACTGCTAGAAAGGAATGGTGGGCTCCGCAGCGTGGCTCCCAGGGATGACTCCTCCTCATGAGCTTCAGCAGAGTTGGACAGCAGGGGTCATGTAGAGGCTGGTCATAGTGAAGGATGTTATAGAATACTGGGGTAGGGTCTCACAGTGATGGAGAATGATACCATAGGATGGCAGAGGTAGGGGCAAGCAAATTTATTTAAAAGCTGTCATAGCAATAAAGTTCCTACTAGCCCAGAAGGGGCTCTGAATAGACTATCCACGAGAGCTCTTTTTGTACAGGCTTTTCAAGGATTTGTAAGGGAGTTCAGCCTGTTGTGCTAAGCAATGTAATCTCTCTTCTACAGGAGACTCCATATGTTTTGAGGTACAGTTCATGCTGTATTCATGCAGGGCCAATGCACCCTTGAGCCAGTGGCCTGCCTGTGGCTTGGGGAGGGTCCGGACAGCCAATGACACCTGGCAGATGTCTTTGTAAGATCCTTGGGGGCTGTGACTCAGCAGACTTATTCTGGCCTTCCTGACTCCAATCTGGAGCTACTGTCCTTACTGCCCAATAGAATCCTAACTGTTGTCACCACATGGGGTTGTAGCAGTACTTCCCTTACCCAGTTCCTTAGAATGCTTTCCCATAAAGAGCTGTCTGGAAAGGTGTCACCCGTTCAACCTCAGGAATGTCCCTTACAGTTCACTTTGACCTAGAAGAGCTCTTCTTCGAAGTTCCTTGCATGATGGTCCAGCCAAAGAAATTTGAAACTTAGAATTTTAAAGAAATGGCTTATTCTTGCCATGTACAAGAGGCTGGTGGCAGTAAACTATAGGTACTACCTCTACCTACTTTTCTCTTTTTTTATTTAGGCAGAACCGGGGATTGAACTCAGGCCCTTGTGCTTGCCAGGGAAGCACTTATTCCACTGAGCCATCTCCCCGGCTCTACCTACTTCTTTAAACCATTGGTTTAAATGTTCTCTTTCCCTCAGCTCTAATACCAAAAAAGTCTGCAGCAAGATCAGTCATCAGGGGCTGTGCAATAAAGGATGGTCTGGTAAGGCTGTAGCACATCTGGCTGAGATGTGGGGCCACAGAGAGCACCCACAAAGCACTGGTTTTCAAACTCCAGAAGCATAAAAACTGCCAGTGAAGTTTGTTTGACCCACAGACCTCCATCCTCCGCCCTAGGCCTATTCCCCAAAAGTCTGACTAGGAAGTCTTGAGTGGACCTCAGGAACATGCATTTGAAACAAGCACCTTAAGAGATATTGACACTGGAAATATGTTCACTACGCTTGGAAAAACTCTTCACATACAGTTTTTTGAGTCCTGGAGAGAGAATGCACACAAACAGATAATGTAAACTTGAGTACTGAAGAAATCTCTGTGAGGATTGGGCAATACATCATTGCATTCTATGCTGGACTGTGTGGTAGGAAGGGGCAGTGAGTTCAGCCAAGGGAAGTGCTTTGCTTCAGCAGGCACATCCATGGGGCTGGTACAGGGTGAACCTATCACCTCAGCAACCCCAATAGCAGTCCTGAGTCAGCAAGAACAGGGAGACGGGGCCACGGTGAAGATTTTTCTGAGTACTTTCTCAAGGAGAGACAAGGGTGATGCCACACACACGGCAGTTAGGACTTGTTTGACACGGACTAAGGCAGCCTGAGGATCTCCCAGAAGTATCACTGGGAGCAGCTGAGGAGAGCTCGGGATTTTCAATGAGTCTTAAGCTCACTCTACATGCTGACATATCCATTGCGAAGCCTGGCGTCAGGTAGTTTCTAACTTGAGCACTGACTTGGAACTGCGTCTTGATACCTCCCGTTTCCTTCTCCCCTTCTCGTTCCTAGTTCTCACTGTATCTCGTACTCCCCAGCCTGGAGCACCCACCTAACTACTCTCACCCCCATAGATGTTAGCTGGATCTTCAAAAGGACAACACCCTTGCTGGGTGCTTTAGGGAGGGTGTTCTTTTATGGAAGGTTTTGAAATGCCCCAAATTCTGATGTTGTTCAGATAGGAAAGATTGTTTGTCTAATGGTGATATCTCCTGTCTGTTAACACTGGGAGCATCCATTACTTAAACCCGTAAAATCGTCTCTAAGTGGTGATGTAAATGCTGAAGATGACTGATGTACACCTCAGGTTCTATTTCCAGTTACCAGCTCCATTAAGAGCCCTTTTCTTCAAGACGGACCCCCACAAGAACAACACCTTTAGTAGCCCTGCTTCTTAGTCTTTTTTACAGACACCAGTGGGTACCAGGTAGGTTGCCAGGCACAAACTTGTGCGGCCACACGCGTCCTGCATGTTAATGTTGGCCCCCATCTTCAGCAGCAGCTTCACTGTGTCCACTTGTCGTCCAGAAACCGCATGCATCAAGGGTGTGCATCCTGGAACGAGAAACAGCAGCGCCTTTAAAAATGTTTGAAGGGCTGGCGAGAGAGCTCAGTGGACTAAGCACCTGCTTAAGCAAGCACAGGGACTGGGGTTGAATCCCCGGTACCGCATGCTGCGCTGGCTCTGGCCCTGGGCATATTGAGCAGGCTACCAAGTCCAGGTCCGGTGGCGCATGCCTGTAATGCCAGCGCTGGGGAGGCTGAAGAGGAGGGTCACTATGAGTCCCAGTTGTGTAGTGAGACCCTGTACCAAATACATTAAAAAGTATAAAGTTTGACTTACAAAATTTATGAGCAGACTTTATTTGCTTATTCACTCATTCTTCCTTTTGAAGAATAAATCCAGCTGTTGAACTGCTATATGGGCATGAAGAAAGTTGAAGGTGATTTTGCCTCATTTGTATATAAACTGTACTTTTTTTCCCTGGTTTTTTCTTAATCTCTTGCAATTGTGTAAGTAATTTGTTGATTAAAACCTTTTGGTAAATGCTAGAAATCATGTGGGGTCAGCATTACTTGGGACCTAACAAGAAGGTTCATTCTGACTTGACTTGAAAAAATCCAGAATCTGGAAGTACCTTTGGAAAGTGACTCCAACCAGGCAGACAGGTTCAACGTGCTTTTATTGGAGGTTGTGGATGATAAAGTCATGCGACCGCCTAGCCTGGGGGTGTACAAATTCTTGCTAAAGAAACCACCTGTAATAAATATTCCTCTGCTTTTAGAATCAATGTAGGAAACGTATTCAGCTTTTTCAATGTGTTTTCTTCCTGATGAAGTGACTTGTTTTGATTCACTTTGCAGAACTCTTGGAACAAGCCAGCCTGGTGAAGCAGAATCTATGTGTTTTATACTCCCTGGCGTGAGACACCAAATGTCATCCACAACTTCTGGCCAGCTGGGACTTGTTTAAGTCTCTTGGTTGGAGATTCACCTCAAGTCTGTACTCCTCCTCTGGAAGCTCACACTCACAGAGATTTCTGAGAATCAGTCAGCAGAGGAATGCTACTCGGACTGAAGGATGGCTGGCAACCCAATTCCTCTCCAGATTTCTCCCTTCTCTGAGTCTTGCAGGCATCTGTGACGAGCAAGAGTGAGGTGCTTGTGAAGGGCTGTGTCTCAAAACAGTGGCCAAATTTCCTTCCTCCCTGGTTTCTGTCAACAAGTATTGTAACTTCAGCGGAGGGAAGCACCTACCAAAAAGGACAGCTATTGAAGCAATCCATGAATTTGAAATAGGAAATAAAGCTAAAGAATTTCTAGGCATTATCTTCATAAAATCACATGCTCTGCCTGGCTAATTGATCTCTCTCTTGAGATCCAGCCAGACATACAAAATTCCCTCAGAGAACACTTTGCTGCTCCTCCGTTGTAAAGTAGATCTCCAAGTTGTAATCTCTCAACATTCTTTAGTTTGCATTAATCACTCCTTAAACTTTTTCATCATACATTTGTTGGGATGCTCACTGATTTAAAATATGTCTATTTCTAGGCTGAGTTCCGAGGGGAAGGAAGCGCACATCTCATTCATCACGGTGGCCTCAGCACCATCCAGTGGACTGGCCATCTAAGACATTGGCAAACAATTTTGAATTATGTAGCTGAATTTTAGAGAGAAGTTTAGAGAAGTGACAGAGATTCATCTTCAAATTGGGCTGCCAAATGTATTTGAAATCTTTGTACTTGTCCTCATAGAACACAAACAAAATAGAACAAATAAGATAGTATAGCACTGTGGTTGTATATAAAATTAATACACAAAAAAGGGTTCTTAGAAATAAAAGCAACGGGGAAAGTCATAAAAATAGCAATAAAATACCTAAGAATAAATCTAGCAGAAGAAAAGCAAAAATGTAGATAAAATATATGGGGGGACATAAAAGAAGAATTAAACATGTGAAGATCTAGGGTTTTTATGAAAAGAAGACTCAGTACAGTAGTGTTATTAGTTTTCTGGAAATGATTCAATAAATTCAGTGCAATTCCAATGAAATTTCAATAAAGCTTTTGTAAAATTACAGGAAAAATCTTGAAGTCTATACATAGGTGCCGAAGATGTATCTAGGTAGTTTTAAAGTAGATAAAAGGGAGGGAGATTACATTACTCATCCACAAGGTTTATTATAAAGTTATGCAAGTTAAAACAATAACTTGAGAGTACAGGAAACACTGAAACCTGTATAGGAATTCTGTGTGTCACTGTAGTGACATGCAGGGGGAAAAGGTATTTAATAATTGATGTTGGTCAACTAGGTCTACTACAAGGATACATTAATAGTAGATTCAAACTTCACATCACAAATAAACATAGTCCAGATGAAATTCAAAAGGCAAAATTTTTGCTGAATTCACGTACCTACAATATTTAAATGGCAATGGAATACCCATCTCTGACAAAACTAAACAAAAAAAGGGGATACAAATCAAGGACCATTTTGTATCTGTATATTCAAAATAGTTAGGATAGATATATAGCTACTTTCTCTTAATTCAATGAATAGAAAGATTTGTTCTAATAGTGTTTGTGGACAGGATATCATGTCTGCATCTTGTACTATGAATAACCACTGAGAAGACAACAATATGCAATGTATTAATTATTGAAACTGTCCTGTTAATCAGTTTTGAAACTGTCTCATTGCTATTTGTTTCTCAATAAAATTATTGAAAAAGTAGCATAATCTTAAAATTGAGGAAACTGAAAAAAAGGCAAAATTTAACCATTTTAGAAAAAATATAGAAGCATATTCTTTTAATCTCACAGATAGTAAGGTCGTAAGGAAGCAGATGCCAAACTACAATGTAAAATAAAATGCCTTATTATATTAAATTATATTCAAATTTAAAATTTCTTTACTACATAAATGAAATGAAAAGGCCAGCTGGTGCGATAAGTTATTTTAATTTATAAAATAAAGAAAGGATTATTAGCTAAAGTAAAGAACAATCCAACCAGAAAGAAATAAACAATATAAAAGAAAAAAATACATGTGCATATATAAGTAATTCACAAATGAGAAAACACACAAAAATCATTAAAAAAAGGTGATCTCACAAGTAGGGGATATATATTACTATGAGGTTTCATACCATTTTATACATATTGAACCAGTAATTATTAAAAGTTTAAAGTGCCATGTGTTGTCAAATATTTGGAGACTCTACTATTCACTTGAGGTTAAATTAGACAACTATTTTGGAGATAAATTTAACTTTTTTTTTTTTTTTTTTGTGTGTGTGTGTGGTACTGGGGATCAAACTCAAGACCTTGTGCTTGCCAGGCAGGTTCTTATGCCACTGAGCTATCTCCCTGGCTCCTTCACAGGGCTAATAAAACTGAAGATGATCATAAGTTCTGATCAAGAAATTCTACTTTCAGGTATATTTCATAAAGAAATTTTCACGTTGATGAACAGAGACATAATCAAAAATGGTCAGCAAAGAATAAGCAGCATAACTCTACACAACTATGGGGCAACAACCCTGAAAAAAATATATCTTTGTGGAATATGTGGTTTGCAAATATTTTCTCCCATTCTGAATCTTCTTGTTGGATTCTTTCAACAGTTGGCCCAAAGTTTTATTTTATTTTTGAAAATTATTTATTTGGTACAGGGTGTCACTAAGCAGCTTGGACTCATAGTCATCCTCTTGTTTTTAGCTTCCCCATTACTGGGATTACAGATGTGCACCACCATGCCTGGTCTTGGTGGCTGGCTCAGCACACATGTGGTTCTGGGATGAGCACAACATTCAGTACCAGGGATCGAACCTGGGTCTTTGCGCTTGTCAGGCAGGTACCTAGAACACCAAGCTATCTCCTTAGTCCCCAAAGGTCTTTATTTTTGATGAATTTAGATTTATAAAATTTCCTTTTATATACTACACTCTTGATGTTAAATCTTAAGGAACTGTCTGCCTATCCTAACATAGTGAAGGCTTGCTTCTGTTTTTTTTTTTTTTTTTTTTTTTTTGTGGAACCGGGGATTGAACTCAGGTCCTTGTGCTTGCCAGGGAAGCCCTTATTCCACTAAGTCATCTCCCCGGTCCCCTCTGTTTTTATCTAAAAAGTTTATGTCTTACATTTACATGCATGACTGATATTGAATTAATTTAGGGTTAGATTTTTGAGTGCGTTCTCTGTTTCTTGTCTTTGTTCTTCTTTCCTTCCCTCTTCCTTTCCTCCCTCTTTGCCCCTTCTTCCCTTGCTCCTCTGTCCCTACTCTATCACTCCCAGCAACACTTGTTGAAGAGACTATCTCTTATCCACTAAGTTACATTTACCCTTTTGTCAAAATCAATTGGGTTTATCTGAGTGCGTCTTTTTCTGAATTCTTTGTTTCTTTCTGTTGTCTACCACTTAGCCAAGGCCAAACAGTCTTGACTTCTATAGCTATACAATAAATCTTGAAATTTAGTACACAAATTTCTTCTGCTTTATTCTTTCTCAAAATTGCTGGAACTCTCCTGACTTTTTTGCATTTGTTTATAAATATCAGTTAATTTTATGTTTTCTACACACTCACAAACTCATACAGATCTTGCTGGGGCTGGGATAGAAATGGTGGTCTCTTCCCTATGCCATCCTGCCCCTTTTAAGAAAATGCATTAAACCAGCAACAAATTTGGAGAGCATTGTGGTTTACTCTGTTGAAGTGAAGCTTTGTGCTTACTGCCTTTGTGCAAAGAAGCATTGACTAGGTATCAATACATAGCCACAGGCAAGCTACCCTTTGCTCTCCAGTATCAAAGTAGCCAGAGATAGTTGTACCAGTATTGCTCATCTTAAAGAGTGCGTCCTCAAAGGGATAAGCTATTACAGTTTGGGTTCAAAATGCATACACGTCTCACCCTCGCTGTCGCAGCATTCGAGGATGGATGGGTCCTCTCGAATCACGGCAGTCAAGGCATTGACATCTCCATTTGACGCAGCCTGATAAACCAAGGTCAGGTCAACTTCCTCAGATGAGTCACCTTCACGAATGGAAGAGACACTGTTAGTGTCGAGTGAATTCACTCAAAGCACAACAACAAGCAAACTTTATCGAGCAATGATTCATTACATGTTGCAGCTGACTCCAGGTAGAAGGCAGTGTCCTCTCACTCATATGGCCCCTTACCACTTCTGAAGAAAAGTGGGCCACTGTGGGCAACGGGGACGTGACTGTATGCTGAAAAGGAGTCCAGGGAACTAGATGTTTATTGCTACTATATGATTCTCTTTCTGGCCCTTCATATTTCTTAAAATCAGTGAGATCAAAGGAGAAGTAGAAACCCTTCTAGGTTCTGGGGTTTGCTTTTTCATCTGAGGCACATTATTTGTCTTTTCAATGACTCAGTTTGAAAGAGGCCATTGTGCTTCCCATCTTTGGAAGAGGCCTTGTGTTTCTCTTTCTCTGTCCCCTAGAGGAGTGCAGAACCCTTTCCTGACCTGCTACCCTGAAGGCTGAGCCTGCTGTGTCCCACTCTCTCCTGCCTTCTGGCTTTTCTGCAGGAGGCACAGTCAGGAGACTAGGAGGGAGAGGAGAGAGACACGCGGGGCAGCGTCTTCCTTCCCCAGGCAGCACAGTGTTTAGTGTTAGCCATCTCTCCATCTGGTTCTTCACCAGTTGTAAGCTAAGCAATGGCTTCTCACTGCTGTCTTGGCCTTTGGCACTCGGGGCCACCTCTGTATGGTGTCCCTTCATGCAGACCCCTTCATTTCAACTGCCTGAAGTTTGAGGAGATAGTGTTTCCAGGAGAAATAGGGCTGTACGCAGCCCCTCACCTTAGGAACGTTATCGAACCAACGAGGAATCCTGCCAAAGGCGACAGCAGAACTGTGGGGAGAAGGACTCCAGGTGTGTGCTTGGGGGAGGGGAATAGGAGGGGCTTGCAAACAAGTTTTTCTTGTGGGTAACTATAGGTGGGCTGTTGTGCTGAGCCCCTCTACTTAATTAGTTTTGTCCAGGCATCATCCTTGCCTGGGGCCAAGTACGGTCATTGTTGGGAATAGCAATGTGTGTGTAGAAAAGTTTTTAAGAGATTTATTTTTTTCTGCTGACCTATGCCAGACCTTGTCAGCTTTAATTGATTTCTAGTTGGCAGAAGTGCTAATCTTTTGGTTTGTTTTCTCTGTCCCAGTATTTCTGAGAAGCCATTAATGATTTTTCAACTAGCTCACTTCCTACAGTGAGTTGCTCCCAGCTCCACCGTTCTGTAGGTGAGTTGGTAGTTGCACTAATTGAAGAATGGTTTTTGATGTTTGTTTGTTTTGGATTCTGGGAATTGAACTCACAACCTCCTGCTTGCCAGACAGGCACTGGGCCCCTGAGCTATATCCCTGGCCCTAACTGAAGAATGTTGAAACAGAGCTCTTGTATGTCTAGCTTTCCCTCCCTCTGATGTTGACCTTAACCTGGTTATTCTGGGGACCACCGCTGCTCCACTCTCAGCCCCTAATCTGATTCAGTGGAATTGGCTATGTCATGGTCAGGGGCTAGAACTTGTGACCTAGAACGAGTCTACTCAGCCTTTGTGTTAACCTTCCTTCACAGACTGATTCAGGGATGTAATCCAACTACAGAGCCCATACTTTGACTGGAATTTCTGGAAACAGCACTCTCACTTGGTGGCCTCACTCATGAACCTGGGACTTGGTGGCGCCATTTGCATGGACAGCATATCTGGGAAGATAGAAGACTAAACAAGGAGGGGTGCAGAGCTATGTTAAGAGAAGAAAATGGTTGAGGGCTGGCAACATTGGCTAAACTTTGGAAAAAAATATAATTTCATGTGCCAAGAAATTTCGTTTTTGCTTGAGCAAGTTTGCATGACCACGCACATATGCTTTGGTTTTCTTTTCAGTCACTGAAAGAGTGCTAACCAATAAATGGTTTTAGCAGTGACACATTAGGAAAGAATTTAGGGCTTTGGATAGTCAGCTTCAAGGAATTAGCAGTGTTTTCATAAACCAGTCGGAACTCTGGCTGGATTGTTGGTAGCCTAGTGATCATATAGAGAGAGGGGATCAGTCCCATGAATTCTTAGGCAGTCTAGTGGAGCTCCATGGGGTGCAGATTAAATGGGGCTGAAAGCAGATGGAGAGCGTTCAGGGAAGAGTAACCAGGGTGGCGAGTTTTCACACACCACATGAGAAATAGGTGAGGGAAACAGATGTGCTTACTCTGGAGAGACGACACAGTAAGGCCATGACGGCAGCCTCCAGAGACATGAAGAGTTAAAAATAACAACAAACTATGGTAAAATACACAAAACATAAAATTTACAATTTTAACCGTTAAGTACAAAGTTCTATGGCATTTTGTACATTTACATTATTGGGCAACCACCACCACCAGCTCTA